TTGCAGAGAGTATGAGGCATAGTTGTCTGAGAGAACCCTTATCATTTATGTTCCTGGTTTCAGTTGTTCCTGAGACACAGTTTCTCTTCCTTTGCATTTGCTGTTAAATCCTATCTTGTATTCCATGAGCCAATGAAGTTCCTCTTTTACCCAACTAACTTGAGGTTCTGTCAGTTTTAACCAAAAAGCCCTGCAAAAAAAAAAAAAAAAAAACTACCCAAACATGTTTACATTTTCTTATTTCTTGCTCAGATTATTGCAAAGTGATACACTGAGTAGAATAAAGACTAAATTAAGTATTCGTTTAGTTATTGCCCTTCATTTTTTAATCAGTTTAACTTCTGCTAAACCAAGTGTCCATCTTCATTAAGCAATTCAATTGTATTTAATTCTTCATCCAGATTGTATGATGGTGCTCTTTAAATTGTCTGAGTAGTCAAACACTACACGTTAACTTCTGGAAAATTAGAGACCAAATGTCATTTAGGAAATTGAAAATCAACTTCTTATAAGCTCAATTGTAAGAACTCATACTGAAATGTGAACAATGTTCATGAAAAGTTAATAAATAAGACTAATGATGGGTCATAGCAATTTTAGAATGATCAGGCTCTTAAACTACTTACAACTAACGTGAATACCTTTGAGAAAAGAGGGTAACAGTATTGGAACTTCATGCCCATAACAAAACTGAACTTCAAAAGCCATTCATGATCACATATATCAAGAGTCCATTTCACATTTGCTCTCACATTTACTGTACAGACTCATTCATTCCTGATGTTAATATAATGATTATGGATATAATATTATGGGATCTGAATTAATTTGCAGACTTTTAACCGTTTCGTGTTCACACATACCTCTACGGACCAAGTACTTTTTCTGCCTTTGAAGGTTTATTGGGAAGCTGCTGCACCATTGACAGTGCATGCTGCCAAAAGGCCTTTATGACTGTTTAAAACCAAAGAAATGGGTGTGTGCCGCAAATAATTGTTTTTACAGGGTATTGTATGAGGTGTGTGAATATTTGTTAGGAAAAATTGACATTTTGAAAATTTTTATTTATTGCACATATGTACCAATATACCCTGATGGGGAATCTGGGGTATAATCAGAGGTACTTCATATGTACCACTAAACATTTAGGGTAGGCTTGTGGGAGGGGGCAATAAAAAAAATCTGTACTACTTACCAAAAATTCAAACACTCAATGATTCAGCATGCTTCCATTAATAAAAATACACAGTACCAACAAAAAAATTCAAAGCAGAAAATAATTGATTCACCAAAGGGTTAAAACTGTACATAGCCCTCTGTAATTGTTCGCTTCCTCCCAAGATTTTAAAGTAGTCCCTTTCCTTGACTCCTCTCTTTGAATCATTACCACTGTGGGCTACTGTCCTTGAAAGGGGTGTGTCCTTTTATACTCCCTCCAGTGTTTTGGGAGAAAAACATATTCTGGTCAAAGATAAGTGTTATTTTTAGAAAACCAGAACTTCCACAAAGATTTCTAAGGTTCTGAGTGTACAAAGTAGGACCGAAAACCTTCGTTGATGAGCCAGCCACTCTGTGATCCTTCATGTCTGTGCGTCTCTCTGGCAACTATAAGACAAAAGACAGGGCACAATTCCAGGAAAGACACTGTCAGTGTGAAGTAAAACTAGGATTAGGGTAGGTCTTTTGTGTGTATTTCTTCTTTTTTGAGAATCAGGGAGCACTTTCAGAGTTATCTGAAATTTGTAGAGCTAAATGAGATGTCATTATTATTCCCATTTGAAGAGGGGTCACACGAAACTCAAGAGGATTCAAATGACTTATAGTAAGTGATGTAAATGGCTCCTCCCCCTTGTAACCACCTTGGATTTAGTCATGAAATATGCCTCTGTAGAAGAAATGTTCACCTTTGATTTGAGCTCAAGAGCTCATATTCATGGTAGAAGCCCATGGCAGAATTCCAGTATAGTATAATATATACCCCCAAAGATTACTTCATTCCATGTACCACACCCATTATCTGTAAATAAAGCACAGCCTCCAGTGCAGTCAATGAGCAGTCAAGCATGCTAATGAGGTTATCTTTAAGGAGTATTTTTCTGCTGCATGACAGAGTGAAGTCCATCACCCAGCTAATGGAACAGGGGGACCATTTGGAAAAGCTCTGAGTACACATTTACAAAAATACCAATCTCACATCAAGCGGAACTTAAGGATACCTTATTTTGACTACTGGAAAGGAAACAATGCTACACACAGGAACCCAGGTGGTTAATGTACTGTACATTATTACCATAAAGTACAACACCTCAGTCTCTTAGCACCTCAGAAACCACAAATTCAGTTGATTACATAGTGCCCTACAGAATAGTCTTGAAGAGTAAATGAGCAAACATCTCAGATAGCCTTTCAAAGCTTGCCAATTCACTGGGCTTGTGAATGTTTGCCATTGGGCTGTTGTGCAGAAGGAGATTTTACCATGGTTTCTAGTCTAAGAGGTTCTAAGCTTGTCTCAAATACCATGGGGAACATGGTATGAGCCCTTGTTTACTGGAGTCTAAAATAAATAAACTAGCCCAACTATAATAAAAAAACAAATTTTCTGTGTTCAGAGATGATGTAATATGTAAACCTAAAGCTCTGAAGTTAATGCAGGTCCCTTGAGATTCTAATCAACTTTACTTCAAGGAAAATACAATGGTTTCTCAGGTATGAAATTGTTCTCTCTCATTATAGCTTAAATTTAAGGGCTTTAAGTAAATACTGATAATTCAACAATGTATACAAATGAGCTATTGGTTTCCGTCTATGAACTAACCTGCCTGTGCAAAAGAGCATAAGGCCCTGTCTGGTTCTGCCATCCACTACACATATGTGTTTGTGGATTGAAATAAAGACAGTCTACTATGTTTATTTTGATGTTTTTTTAGTAATCTGACAAATTTGGAGAAAATAAGTCATTCCTTTAAAAGAAAGCATGGAACAAATGTCCTATACTCAGTAAATGTTGCTGTCATTTGGAAACAAATCGGTGAGTTTTTATATTGTTTCCAGGTTATGTTACTGCACCTATTAGCAACAAAATGTAAGAGTGGGCTATGTTATTCTGAGGAAGGTCTTCTTTATAAAATTCTTTGTGTTGAAATGTCAGAACAAGTGTTTAGTTCCATTTCTACGCTTTAATCAGAGTTTTGGTGACCCATGACACCAATCACAGACACCTCTGCTAGCCGATACATTGCAAAAGCCTACGAGATTTCTTAAAGCAGAACTTGCTGGCAAACATCTCATGTGCAAACCTGTATTGATTTACAGGGAGAGGTCCATAAAGTTAAAAAAAAAAAAAACCCTACAGATTTGGGGTGAGGTGGAACAGACCTAACTTTTTATTTAGTATCTAGTAATTTGGCCATGTTGTCTTATAGTCTGTTCCTTGTTCTCACTTAACAGGACAAAAATTAATGTCGAATATCTAAAACATCTCTGTACTGATCACAACTTTGTCTAGTATGTAACTTTCTTTTAATCTTCTTTTTTGAGAATAAAATTGTATGTTCGAGGTTGTATTTCAGCACTTTGATAAGAAGTTATTTCATTACTACTACTTAAAAGCCTGGCTGAAAATATAGTATTGACTTCCATTAAAAATCAATGTGCCTCATCCAAAACAAAAAAGTTTTATGACATATATATATTTAAATTTCCAACTCATCATGAAAAACAGTTAATTATGTAAGTTGAAAAAGGGAATAGCAAAAGTAGAAAACTTATCCAGGATTTTGCCAATCACTTCAAAATAAGCTGAAATCTGAATTCGTGCTTTGATCAAGTATTTTCCAAAAAACATCTTCTACTATGATCCCCAGTTAAAAAAAAATCACAATATGACTCAGTATACACATACACACACTCATATACATACACACAAATTTGAAACAAAATTTTTTTAAACAACTTACCCTTACTCATATGATACATTCTCGTACTTTCTGTTCGATTTAATTTAATTTAAAAAAAAAATGCTTATCTGAATTCACTAAAAGGAGCGCTGGTGGCGCAGTGGTTAAAGTGCTTGGCTGCTAACCAAAAGGCTGGCAGGTCCAACCTACCAGCCATGCTGCGGAAGAAAGATGTGGCAGTCTGCTTCCGTAAAAATTTACAGCCTTGGAAACCCTGTAGGGCAGTTCTACTCTGTCCTGTGGGGTCACTATGAGTCAGAATCAAGTGAACTGCAGTGGTGAGGGGGGGGATTCACTAAACTGATTTTATAACCTACTAATGGCTTGTGATTGGCCACAGAAAACATTGCTTTGATCTATATCTTAAAAAAATGTTAGGAGGTAACTTTTACCTTAGTAAGCATAAAGATATTAAAAACATAACTTTCATGCAGATAGTGAATTTACCACACATAATCCCATGGTTCTAGAGTTTTTTTGTTCAGAATTTATAGATAATGAATTATTAGAAATAATCTATTAGAAATGGTGAATATTTTTTAAAAATTTAAACAAAAATTAAAATATATATGCACACAATAAAAATTCAACTAATATAAAGACATTAAACAAATTACACAAAATGGATCATACGGGTACATTCTCTTGCACTTTTTTTAAACTTAAGAACAGACAGATCCTCTTCAATCATTGTAATATCTGGATGGTATTCAAATGTATGGGTGTACATAATTTATTTTAAAATTCCCTGTTGGACATTTATTCCAATTTTCTGCTATAGTGATGGGAGAGAGAGAGAAAGAGAATTGAAAATCTTTGCATATGAGCCTTGAGCAAAATGCGCTGGTGGGAAAAAAAAAAAGTGTTTTTGAGTTAAAGCTGAAGTCATTATTTTGTTAAATTAATCTCTTTATTAATAGTTGAATCGGCAATTGATGACTTAAAAGCAGCATAAAGAGAACAAAAATGCAAGCTGACAAGAGTTATCTTCTTGGCCTTTCAAAGTACTATAATCAATCAATAAACTTTCTCTTTCTTATCCAGATCCCACACCACGTGAAGCCCTTGCCGTATTACAGCTACGACCAGCCGGTGATCGGGTACTGCCAGGCTCACCAGCCTCTCCACGTCAACAAGGACTACGAGACCATGTCTCCGGAGCAGGACGAAGCCCCCAGCCTAGAGCTAGGGCGCGACCACAGCTTCATAGCCACCATTGCCAGGTCGGCTGCTCCGGCCATTTATCTTGAGAGAATAACAAACTAATGAGAAGAAGCCAACTCCTCACTGGGGAACTCAGCGGGGGGAGGGAGGGCCTTCATCTTAAAGGAGAATGGGTGTCCAAAACCGCGCAATCAAGCAAGCTCATCATTCCTGTTAAAACATTTATGAATTAGAGAAAAACAAAAACTGCTTACGGAGGGCAGCGGATGCACCTGCAGTACAGCCGGGAGAACTACAGAACTTTCTTTGCTTTAAAACATAAAACAAGCGAACAAACAAAAAATACTCCTGGATGTAAATAGTAAGAGTGTCAAGTTCTTATAAAAATAGATGTCACTCTAGCTACATATAGGTTGGTTTGTATATTTGATTTTTCTACACTGCATGGTTCCTGGGCTGGAGAACCACGGGGGGTGGGGGGAGGGAGGGACTGGGGAAGGGGAACAGGCAACAATACAGTTTTCCTTGTTAGGTGTGTGTAACTTTCACAGACTTTATTTCAATTGTTTTCATTTATTTTTCTTTGAAACAATGTTGTTTGTTCTTGTTTGGTTTGTTTTAATTCTACTTTTATTTTTTTCCTGGTCAAGTGATACTGTGTCTAACTCTAAACATGAGCATTAAAGCTTATGTTGTGCCAAAAGAAAATTTGCTTTACCACAAAACACCAAGAAAAAAGTTGACCACACCAAGTCTGACAAAACTACTGGAATGCAAATCCAACAAAAACTGGGTGAATGTTCCTTCAAGACGCACACTGTTCATAGTGTGAGGAGTTTTGATTGGGTTCCCATGGCTGTCCTGCACTCGGAGCTTTTGTTGTGTCAGGAGTCCAAAGGAAACCTCTGTGAAGACCTTGGATGGAGAAGACCAGTAGTTACTCCCTTGTGGACCAGTGGGATTAGAAGAACAACAGCCGTGTGGTCAATGAGTGAAACTGCCAACAAATTTCTAAATACAAGATGATACGTAACATTGCTTTAAAAATGAATTATCAATTAGTTTTTGTGTAGTTTTTATCAATAAAAGAAAAAAATGTTGGAAAAATAAATACATTATATTGTGGTTGGTACACCACAGCCCACCTAATGTTGAGTGCTTTATCTCTATATTAGGGATTCTTTCTAGCCTCTATCAGGGCAATTCAGTATGAATCAATTGGTGTCTCTCAAGTGCATTCATGTGTTCTGGCCTCTGCCAGGGAGGCCCTACAAATAAGTGTGAGATGTGGCTTCTGCACTAAAACGTTTCTCAAATTTTTTAGAGGCATATAGCCTAACTCTAAGAAAATTATATAACACTATGAGGAAGAAGTAAGTATCCATGCAAGCGTTAGAAGCTGTACTGTCTCATAGGAGAGAAGGAACTTGTCTCATAGGAGAGAACTTTCTAGACTACTATCTGGAACGAAGCATAGTGATAACGCATTTCTTTACAAAGGAGATAACCATGCCTATATCAGTTGATCCATTTTCTCCTGGCTTCCTTATTGCTGTGATGCCACAAGACAACTTAGCAATTCTCTGACTCACTATGGATACTTTCTTGACCTAGCCAGTGGTTTACTGATTTCACTAACTACATTTTTAAAACAAAATGGAATTATAAAATTTCTGTTATCCTTTATTAGGACATATTTTGCATTCTGAAGGATGCACTATTAGATAGCAGTACTATTAACAGAGTACTGAGCATTTTTCCCCAAAGTCATTCTGTCTTACTACCGTTTTAAATTAGACTTGAAGTTACACTCTATCTTAATTGATAAAGACATTATGTCATATTAAAAAAAATCAGTCAAAGACAGTTGTCTTACGTTGGAACACAGGGTCATTGCTGTCAAATTGTGGTAACTTTCTTATTAATATTTATGATCTGGACTACTCTTGTTTCCCTAATAATTCAAGTAGAATGAATTAACTATGAGTTTAGAAAGTAAAGGTAATTTTTTGGCATTGTGATTTTCCTTTTAAGAATTGTTCAATGTACTTATAGAAGAACATTTTGAGGTTGTTGTATTGGTGTTAGGTGCCATCAAGGCAATTCCTACTCATAAAGAACAAAATATTACCTGGTCCTATGCCATCCTCACAACTGTTGCTATGTTTGAGTCCATTGTTGCAGCCACTATGGCAATCCATCTCGTTGAGGATCTTCCTCTTTTTCACTGACCCTCTACTTTACTAAGCATGATGCCCTTCTCCAGGGACTGGTCTCTCCTGATAACATGTCCAAACGAAGTGAGATGAAGTCTCGCCAACCTCCCTTCTAAGGAACATTCTGGCTGTACTTCTTCCAAGACACATTTGTTTGTTCTTCTGGCAGTGCATAGTATATTCAATATTCTTTGACAACACCATAATTCAAAGGCATCAATTCTTCTTTGGTCTTTCTTATTCATTGTCCAGCTTCCATATGCATATGAGGTCATTGAAAATACTGTGGCTTGGGTCAGGCACACCTTAGTCCTCAAAGTGACATCTTTGCTTTTTAACACATGAAAGAGGTCTTTTGCAGATTTGCCCAATGCATTACATCATTTGCTTTCTTTGGGCTATATGCCCAAATTACAAGAATTCTCTTAACCCTCCCCACATTCTCCATCTGTCTAGCATCACTCATATCCTCCATCCACCACTCTACCACTAACAGAGTTGATTTACAAGAGGTCACACCTGAATAATCTCAGTCTAAATTGGCTTAAATCATCTTTGGCTTATTTCTGTTCCTTGTAACCAAAGCAGTCCTAAACAGATAATAAGAACCTTCATGTTATTTAAAGCTGTCGTATGTGACTATTAGTTGCCTCAATTCTAATGTGAAATAGTTAAGTGAATTGCCAGCAAAACACGTTGCATTATGAAAATGCTGTGCCCTTTGAATATGAAACCTTTCAAAAACTGATTTAAAAGATCATTTACATATGCCAGAATAAGTTTATACTGTGCTCTTTGGAAGTCTATTGATGATAAAAAATAAGAAGAAGAACAACAAAAACTAATAAGCTTTGCTTAAGTAAGCTTAAAAAGTCTTTAATTGAAATATCTGGCTTGATTTTGTGTGAGAGGCAAAGTAGGTTTTTGTAGAAAACAGCATCTTGTAAAAAAGATAGTGATATTTTAACTAAACCCATTGTTGTGGAGTTGATTCTGACTCATAGCAACCCTAAAGGACAGAATAGAACTGCCCCATAGGGTTTCCAAGGCTGTATTTGTTACAGAAGCAGACTGTCACATCATTGCCCAGAGGGCAGGTTGGTGGGTTTGAACTGCCGACTTGTTGGTTAGCAGCCAAGTGCTTTTAATCACTGTGCCACCAGGGCTCCTTTGATAGTTTAACAGAGGACTTAAAAACCAGATATTGGATTATTGATCTTTTAAACACAAAATTCAATTGTGTCTATGCTGAAAGCCTGGTGTAACCAAATATGATGCAAGGCTTCTGTGAGTCATCACTTAGGGTAAATCAATGTCTGGGTCTCTAAGTGATAGAGAGAAAACTTGGCTGGTCAGTCATTTTTATCACCGTATCTGGCTGGTTTACATGGCTTTGCTATATAAGTTCATTGCCACCAGAGCCCTACTTCTCCCTCAACACGGAGAAGTGTTTGTAATTTTGAACTGTGGCCTTCTTAGAATGTTCCGTCCAGTGAGTCAAATGGCACACGCGGTATCTCCCCAGTGGGCAGGAGAAGAAATATATCACATCTCTACAAGCATTTTGAATGTTTGTTTACTCTGCTTCTAGCCAATATGAAAAGTCTCCACCATCTCTAGAAGTCAGGAATTATGTTGCTTCTACTCACTTTTCATGTTGAATTTTAAAGAGCCTCTCAAAAAACGTTGTGCTTTATTTCAAGACTATTCTAATTAGTAATTTGATTTTATACCGTATTTTTAATTGATTCGCTGAAGGCTATGCAGGTATCTAATTTCAAACTTGAGGAATATCATGGAGCACATATAGACCAGGGACATTAAAACCATGCCTAGAATGGACGAAATCACATATACATGTAGACTGGAGTACTTGATTCTTCAAACACTCTGATTTACTCTTTTCATGAATATTCTTAATAATGCTGAGTTTGCTTTTACTTAGTGCATTATGCAATAACAAAAATACTGATGATCAGAAGCTTGAGGGATAGGTGTATTTATGGAACTGCTTTACATTTTCATCCTCTTTTAGCTCTATTCACCATACTTCATATGTGACCTTTTGAGACTAAGAGTATAAATAATAAGAGTCAGCAGGATGCCAAAAACCTTGAGTGTTTTCTATAATCAAAAGGAGATAAAGTTACAATATTTTACACAGTTTCACTCAATAATGAAGCACTGTTAGTAGAAGGAGAACTCTAGGAGGAGGCCACTGGCATCCATCATGGGCCTTTATTCTACGCTTTGATCAGCTGGAGTGCACGTATGATAGGCTTACACTACAAAATAATGAGTGTCACAAAATTGAAGAGAAGTAGAAAATGTAGTATCACAATACGTATACCTTTCCATTTTATGAGAAATCAATATATGTGAATAATATTTGGAAATTTTAGTTGACAGATATGATCTAACCGATGCGTAGTATGGTGAGTCAGGTGAGATGTGAGAAAGAAGAATAAGGCCATGAAAAATAACTAGGTTTATTATACTCACAGTTCCCAGAGACTGGGAGGCACAGTGTGCCATGATGCAGGGCTGCACAGAGGGTTGCACCTGGGGACTAGGTAACAAGAAACTGAAATTGTAGGAGAGGGCTTATGTATCGCAAGCAGGGTGGGGTGAGCTAGGTTTGGATGGCTTCCTGGGGATGGGGAGTTTTGAATAATTCTGCAGGGGAAATAGGGACTGTCCCTAGTTATTGAGTACCTGGCCCTTGGGTGATTAAGACAGGTGTTTGAGATCCTGATAAGGAGAGTGGTTAGAGAATGGACTTAGTTGTTCAGGAAGGGGAATGGACCAGCCTCCAACCGTGGCCTCAAAACTGTGTCAAGAAAGGAGTTTAAGAAAATCATATTACGAGATTGCTTAACATTACTCAATGGTATAAAAAAAAAAATTACAGACATGTTCAAATTAAGGAACGTTATTATTTAGTCTAGGATTTGCTGGCCAAATCTCCTGTGGAATTTAGTATCAGTGTCACACTTCCAAAGGGGCCATAGCATACCAACCAGAATATTGAAAGTTATGCAATCGATAGCATATGTCCCTACATAATGAAGCATTAAAAGCAGGATCATTCATTCATTAGGTGAAGCTGTCAAAACATTACAGATAATCAAGCAATGGAGAGAAGCAAAGAGAAGTAGACTTACTCCACTCTATAGGCCCATGATAGCCAAGCGATGTTGGTATTTGGTTATTTAACTGAGGAATTCAAGGCTCTTGTGGCAGTTACCTGCTTGGGTCCTTGCCAAGCTTCCCACCTCTGCACCTCTTTAATTTCTGAAACCACTTGGCCTCTCATGAAGATATATTACCCATACCCTGGGTTACATAACCTTTAATTGCCTTTAACTCAAAGGAGTGTAAACAGTTCAAGTTTAGAAACTCGGGTTATCCATCATTAAAACTAAGCTTTAATTTCACTCAGTCCTAGTGCCCACCTACAGTGACATGGTCTCTGCATTGTTCTGATAACAAAATTCTGGAACTGCATCTCAGTTTGTTCCCTGGAGGTCTGACTTCCCCTGCCTTGATACATGTCTAGACTACCAGTTGCTTGACAGCGGGGGCATTGTCTTTCTCTTTCCCATATCACCAGCCACCTGATTTCTGCCTTTGAATCCTAGTTATTTGTTACTAAACGTGCCCTGCTGATCTCTAAATGATCTCTGTTCCTCAAACACCCAGTGTGCCCAGCTGAGCTGGCCTTTGCTTCCATTTTGTGTACCTCTTGGGACTGGAACCGCCTGCTTAATTAAAAAAAAAAAAAAAGTTGCCGTTGAATCAGTTCCGACTCATAGCGACCCTATAGGACAGAGTAGAACTGTCCCATAGGGTTTCCAAGGAGGGGCTGATGGATTAAAA